TATACTAAATGTTATATATATATATATATATATATATATTTTTTTTCTTAGGTATTGTAAAAACAGTGCTCAATGTTATATAACGGTCAAAACGTCAATAACATACTCAGGATTTTCATGTGGATATGCAATCTTCAGGTGCAGAATAGCTGAGTACTTGCTGCCCATGAAGATTAAAATATTCACATGTAATTTTATCAAAAGAAAAAATATACGTCCTTCGATATTTCTCGGGTGTTGTTAATACTGTTTATTAAAAACAGAGCATTTACTTAAATATTTGTGTTTATATAAATAACGTATAACAATAAAATATATTAAAATAATTGTCGTACATTTCATAATATATGGCGTCATTTGTTTACATTAAGATACGCTTCGAGCAGATATGAACGTTCGAGGGAAATCATGGTGAATTTGTAGTTTAAAAAGCATTGAATCGACCTTGCTAACCGAACGCTCCTCTGTATTTAAAACCGGTTAAAGGCATGTCAGGCTATATGACGGTTCCATATAGGATACAGGTTCGATTCCTGTTGGAGGACGCATATTTTCTATGAGATTTGTCGGTAAATGTTGTTTATACTGTTTACTATAAACAAAGCATTTACTGAAATATTTGTGTCTATATAAATAATGTATAACTATATATATATATATATATATATGTAAGATTATGAAAAATACACGGGCAACGCACTACTCGAGTATCGACCATACAGTCTCCTCGGAGCAGTTATTGTCCTGACTCTAGTCTTGCCTATTATTTTTCTTTTTGGTAGTGTAGTGTGTGTGTGTCTGTGTGTGTGTGTGTGTGTGTGTGTGTCTGTGTGTGTGTGTGACATGGATTAAATGCGACAAATATTTTAATACATTTTCTGTTTATACGTTTTTTTTTTTTACTGCAGTAGTTCGAGCCTTGCTAAGCCGTAAGTCCTCTGTGGCTGAACGGTCATAGCACATCAGGCTAAATGATGGTTCGATTCCTGTCGGAGGATGCATATTTTTTGCGAAATTTCTCGAACATTCAGACCGGTAAATGTAATTAATACTGTTTAATTAAAAAACAGAGCATTTCCTAAAATAAGTGTATCCGTAAAAAAAACGTATAAAACAGAAAATATTTAAAAATAAATACAGTAGAATCCCCGACAACCGGACTAAGAAGGTCTTCCGGATATGAGGAATTGGCTACAAAATTCGGATATGAAGGGGTTATATTTAGATTAAAATAAAAGGACAGAAATCAGGTTTAATATTTATTTTTAATGTTTTATAATAAACAAAATAAGCTAATGGTAAGTGAAATATAACGGAATTGATTTTAAGGAAAAAAGAAATAAATTATGTAATGTTAATGGAAATTCATTAAATTAAGTATGCCACGTATACAAAACAAATAATGTAACGAGGATGTTTTTAATCGCTGTTGCATGATATTCTTTCTCTTCTAATGCCATTCTCAACTTTTTACGCATTTCGTTTTGCTTTTGTTCTTGAAAGTTTTTAAACGAAATACAAATGTTAAACTCTTTGTGGGTTATTGCAATCGTCATAGCTGAATGCTGGCTTTCTTTCCATAAAACTGACAACGTTTTCAATAGCTTTTTCAATTTCAGTCCAGGTTTCATTACAGTCATGCATCTCGTCGCAGATGTGTCTCGTTGTCATCCAGTCCTCTTATTCCCATCATCTTTTGCATCAATGCAAGCAATTAGGGTGAAATCAGCATAAGTAATTATCCAAAGTAAATTTACTGAAAAACAGAAATTTCAAATCAGTTACATATCACCCAAATAGTTCAAATATACACGTCAAAATCATGTCCGGATATGCGGAATTCCGGATATGAGGTGCTCCGGATATGAGGGATTCCGGATATACTGTAAATAGTTTTAAACTTTGACAATTTCACGGCTTTCCTATTTGAATTTTTTGATGAATTTCAGTTCTTAACTTAATAAGGTGAGTTCTACGACAATAAAATATCCGAAGGAAATTCCCTTATCGCATCGTTAAATATTTGAGCTTAACAAATTTAACAAAATATTTCAATAACACTCACTAAATATGAATGCTGGTTGTTATTTTAAGAAGTAAGGGGGTACAAGTGAAAAGATTTGAAATTGACGACTTTCTTTCTTTCTTTCTTTTCTCGCTGAAACCATGTAACGTCTCTTATATGTCTTTTGTTTTTCGACACAAAACAGAATAGTCCATTATGCATGACTTCGGATAGGATTGGAGAAACTTTTGTGCACTTTAACTAGAAAGAGTAAAAGCGAATTAAGGCTGTGGGTATCCTAGATTTTACTAGTATTGACCTTTTCATGTCTACATATTGCGATTGTCTTAAGATTCGTTGAACGGTGACTTGGGGCCCAAAATTGGGCATGAGAAATATTTTAAACGGGCCTCGAGGTGCAGATTGGAAAGTGACGAGACGAGACGAGACGAGATGAGATGAGACGAGACTTACGCCTGGAGCTGAACTCAAGCTTGGAAGTTCAATTTGACAAGCTGGCACCAACCAAGAACAGTGTAGTTATTTATATAAGCTTTTATTTATTTATTATAGGCTTTATATTTTGTTTTTGTAAATAGTATGTATTTGCTGTTACATGGAATTCCTATTTGTGCTTATGTGGGCCAAAAATGGCGCCAAGAATGATAATGAAGAAAAGGTGAATTCTGATGAATCTCTTATGAAGGAACAGGATTTTTATATATATTATTTATTCACAGGTGGAATAATGATTGGCGATAGTAGGGGGGAGATCTGTTTGTTTACAAAGTTAACTGCAGGTAGGCATATATTTTATATAATTACATAAATAATGTCGGATTGACTTATATATATATATATATATATATATATATATATATAGAGATAGATAGATAGATAGAGAGAGAGAGAGATTGAGAGAGATAGAGAGAGAGAGAGACTGATTTTTTTGATGCCAATAAATAAAATGGTGGAACAAACAAGACAAAATAAAGTCGTTGAAGAAAAAGGGAAATCATTTTACCTCAAGCAAGGCAATAAAGCCTCTAATACACAAAGAGGTTTCTGAGTATGGGAGAATAAGAGAAATATAAAAAAATAAACCAAAGGTAATTCTATATGTATGAAATGGTTTTAATGTACGTGTTACATAACTGACCAATGAGAATCGATCCAAACAAAAGTTCTGTTTTCTTTCAATCTCTTTCAAGCTTTAATAAAAGTGCAACATGTTATTTGATAAACCAAAACAATATTTTTTTAGATTCATATATAAATATATATATATATATATATATATATATATATATATATATATATATATATATAATGTGTGTGTGTGTGTTGATATAATGGGAATGAACTATTAGTTTGATGTTAAAGTTTTTTAGTTTTTTTTTTTTTTATCAAAAAAAAAAAGTACTCGGCTCAATCATAGTCTTAACGTTCATTTAAGAAATCATGAAGAAAATAAATAAATAAATAAAAATAAAAATAAATAAATAAACATAAAAAAAGGACTGCAACTACAGCACCAATCAGTTAAAGTTTGTAGCAGATATATAATAAAAAACACAACGGAGCCTGATAAAAATTAGAATTATTTAGCCAGAAAAAAAAAATAATAATAACCCAATAATAATACGACTCCAAAAACCTTGACATATAACAAACACCCTTACTTTCATCAAAGCCGAGACCCCGTGACAATGAACCAGATTACACCTCTATCTCAAAACTATAAATTTCATTGCTTAGTTATTCCAATACATATTCTAATCCACAGACAGACTGTTTCGTTGTATCACAGCTCATCAGTGTGGCTAGACGTCTGGTTGCCTCTAGCTAGTATCAAAACCCAACTGAATTGGCGTCAGACGGGGGGATTCTACCACTAAGCTGTCGGCACACGGCAGGGATCAAGGTGAATTTAAGCATATTTATCTTTGGATAAAAACACAATATGTTTATATATGCGATGGATAAATTGTCGTCTAAATGACACGAAAATGAAAATAATGGATGTATTTACTAAAATTACACAAAACTATCTCGAAATACTAAAGAGTCAATTTATTCAATAAAATCGCCATTAACTATTAACATATAAACAATACTTATTTCTTTCATCAAAGCAGAGAATAAAAAATAATGAAAAATTACCCCCAGTTTCAAAACTATAAATGAGCTTGGTCATTTCATTGCTTAGTGGGGAATTCCAAACATCACTTGAAGATGAAACAGTCATCCAACATACCACCTTAATATTGAAATTAAACTTGAATAATGGGTGACCAATTAAAAATTTCGAATTTTCTCTGTCGCGATGGAATCATATTAAAATGAAATAATTTATATATATATATATAATATACATAATATATATATATATATATATATATATTATACAATAATATATATATACGAATAATATTTACTGACAAAAATCTGTCCCTGAAAAAAAAAAATCAAACGTTCTGTCAAGAACTTTATTAATGTAAACAGTGTATATGTAGGTAGGCGTTTTTACACATAAGTTTCATCTCTTTTTCCCTCTATTCGACCTGTGAGTATCAGATTCTCCAAACCCTCTTTTTCTCATTATGTGTCCCAGAAACTTCAGCTGCCTCTTCCTGATGTTAAAATATCCTCCTTGTTTGCATCCTCTTTAAGACTTCATCGTTGCTCACACGCTCGGTCCATGATATCCTCAGCATCCTTCTGTAGAACTACATCTCTGTCGCCTCGAGTCTCTTCTTCATCTTTGAGGAAATCGTCCAACATTTGCTGCCATATACTGATCTATTTTGTGTGTTTTTTTAAATTTTTTTTCTGTCCAAAATGTCTTTACTCTTTTTATCTTTACTGTGTTTTTATTTTATTTTATTTTATTTATTTTTTGTCTATCTTCTTTTCCGTCTTCATATCTTTTAAATCGGCCAAAGTAAGCAGTAAGTGCCCATCTTCCATGTTTGGTGGCGTGATATTGCTTGGCTTACTGCCTGACCGGCCCTGAAGTAGAACGATGAGGGACACAGACGATTTTGAATTGAACCGGATGGAGAAGGAATAAATCCATTGGGAGATAAAGGGAAAAAAAAGAAAGAAAAAGAAAGAAGGAAAAGAAAAGAAAGAAAAAAAGAAAGAAAAGGAAGAAGGGTTGATTTAGGCAAAAAGATAGACAGAGACGAGAAAAAAAAAGAGAGAGAGATAAAGCTGAAATTCAAAATTTAAAATCACATATCAGTGGACAACGTGAGATGAAAAACAAAAGATAATGAAAGAAAAGGGAAAGAGACAGAAAGATAGGGATAGAAAAGGGAAAAAAGATCTGTGATCATTATAAAAAAAGAAAAAGATGATAGAAAGATAGTGAGTTATGAGAGAAACTTTGGCCAGAAAGAGAGTGAATAAAAAAAAAAAAGTTGAGTAATTGAAAAAGAAATAACAGAACTAATAAACCCAGAAGAGAAAGAGATTGTGGATTGATAGAAAGAGATAAAAGAGAACAGAAAATAAAGGGTTCGGTTCATGAAAAGAGAAAGAGATGAAAAGATCAAGCGAAAAGAAAGAAAGAGACAGAAACGGGCTGAACAAGAAAAGAGAAAAGAAAGAAAGATCCATTAGTTAAAGAAAGAAACAATGGCAAAAAAAAGAAAGAAAAATAGTGATAGAGAAATAAAAGAAAGAAAGATATTGATCGGGATGATAGCAAAATTGTCCCAAAAGATATAACAGCAAAGAAAAAAAGAATAAGAAAATAGTTTGAAGATTGTGAAGAAAGAAAAGATTACAGAAAGATTTTTGATAGAAATAAAAAAAAGATTTTTTAAAGATTTGATAAACAAAAAGAGATAGATAGATAAATGGTGATGAAAATTGAAAAGATATCCAAAGATTGCTGTGAAAGAGATCCAGGAGACAGAAAGATATTCCCTTTTTTAAATTTAGAAGAAAGAAAAAAATTGTTCTTCAATGGAAAGATGAAGATTGAACCCGGAGAAAAAGATTGAAACCATAGTGATAGAAAGAGAGAGAGACAGAAAGATATGCAAAGACATAAAGGGAAAGGAGATAGAAAGATATTTTAATGGAGAGAAAGAGACAGAAAAGACAATGACAGAAAAGACAGAAATATAGTAAAACGTCTTAGATTTAGAAAGAGGCAGAAAACAGTAGGGAGAATGAGAAAGAATTTTTTTTAAAGTTAATTCAGGCTACACATCATCAAAATCAATTTGCTGAAATATTAATTAATTAAACTAACATCAAAGAAATAGATTGGCTAACAACAATTTCGTTGATTTGTAACTATAAACAAAAACAAAATGTTTTAGTTTGTTTTTTTTTTTGCTATCTTCTGCCAGCCGCAATGATGGAGAAAGCTTTATCTCGCACCATCGCCGGTAAGACCCGCTGCAAGAGCCACTCTGTTTCGCGATTCTCGTCCAAATCCAAAAGTTTGAGTTTAGGTCTCGGACGGGGCTTCCAAAAGGACAGTGATCTTAAACATCAGAGCAAATCCACAAAAGATTGGGTTCATAAAAAGAAATTTCAAGTCATGGAATGGCCTAGTTAAAGTCTTGATCTAAAGCCAATTGAAAATCTCTGATTTAAGTGAAAGATGGCAGTATATAAAAAAAAAAAAAAAAAAAGAATGGAATCGGTAAAATAGAGTTTTATGAGAGTCTTGCCAAGAAAAACAGCCAAAAATCGCCATTGTCTACAGCCAGAAACTTTTTAAAGATTATGTAAAAACACTGGTTGTTATTGCAAACGAGAAGTTACGAAATATTTAATGTAAGGATTCACTTTTGCACATCTTAATTTTAAATGATTATTTTAATTTCAACTTGATGAACATCTTTGAAAGTGGTTGTAATTGATTTAATAAAGGTTTTTGTTAATGACTGTATAGCTTAATTAAGATTTGTTGATCATCAGGAAAAAAAGAGACAATTATTTTAAATATTATCTTATAGATTCACCACTTACTATTGCGCAGCAATATATATATATATATATATATATATATATATATATATATATATATATATATATATATATATAAATAAACAGACTACTTTAAGGCTCCATGTAATAAATTATTTCACCACAGCCCTTTTAAAAGGATGCGGATAATCAGACTTTTACTTCCAAATTAAATTATTTAAATTATTTGCTCTGAATTTACATTGAGCTCTCTGGATTTTATCCTCCTTAGTTTACCTATACGGATTACCTAGTTTTTCATAAACTATATATATATATATATATATATATATTATAAGATGGTAAGTAACTCTTACGGTATATAACTGTATTATTGTTACTTACCATCGCCTGAAGAATTACAATTATTGTTAATACTATATATATATATATATATATATATATATATAGTTTATGGAAAACTAGTTAATCCGTATGGGTAAACCTAAGGAGGATAAAATTCAGAGAGCTCAATGTAAATTCAGAGCAAATAATTTCATAAACATGAAACTTTTGTACAAGCGATTTCAAAATGTTTTTATTATAATCTCTTATGATAAAAATATAATAATAATATATTGCTTGAACTTTGTATTGAGCACTTTTTAAAACGTAAATGCTACGAATAGTGGAATTTTACACCGTCTATTCTATCTCTCATTTATATATTCTCTGATTCATATATATATATATATATATATATATATATATATATATATATATATATATATATTATTTAATTTCAATTAAAAGGTGCAATTATAATTCATAAATTCATGAATCATTCATAAAAAAACAAATATAGAGGTTAATGATTTAAATGGCGAGAATACATCGTCGCCAAACAATATAAATAAGATACATCAACCCCGAACCTGTATGTGAATGATATGATCCCCGTTTATAAAGTGCAACTATCAGATAATAAGTGTGATATTACTGTAATTATTGAACAATATAGTTCATGCCATATTCACGGACCAGTAAAACCAGTAAAAAAGAATTCTCTTATTGCTATATTTGTACAAAAACGCACAACCTTAAAATTTAAATTCAAACTCCGTACGTTCCAAAACAATAACACATTTCTCATAGCATTTTTTCGGATTACATCTCTATTTTCGATGTCCTCTTATTACTGAGAAGTAAAAACAAGAACAAAATCTACTTCCATACCTGATGATGTCTGTAGGAACAGACGAAAGCTTGTAAAAAATTAAAAAGACCTTATGCAACTGGAATTTATAGACAGGGATCATATCATTCATATACAGGTTCAGGTATGATGTATCTTATTTATATTGTTTGCGACGATGTATTCACGCCATTTAAATCATTAACATCTATATTTGTTTTTTGTATGAATGATTCATGAATTTATATATATATTATATATATATATATATATATATATATATATATATATATATATATATAAGTTAGTCCTAAGCTTGTATTAGGACCAACTTAATAAATAATATCCAAATGATGCACAATTTTTGCCACATTGGTCACATTCCTGCATACGATGACTTATTGGGCATCGTCCGTATAAACGGTGTCTCATTGATTTTATTTCTATATAGGGGACTTGGTCCACATTAATATATAGTCTATTATTTATCCACATTCCTACAACAGTAGCACATTCGTATATACGGTCCCCATTCGTATATATACTTATTGGTCCAAATTCTTATATACCGCGTCTTATTGACCCACTTTCCTATATACGGTATCTTATTGACCAAGATTCTTATATACTGTGTCTTATTGACCAACTTTCCTATATACGGTGTCTTATTGGTCCACATTCTTATATACCGCGTCTTATTGGCCCACTTTCTTATATACGGTGTCTTATTGGTCCACATTCTTATATACCGCGTCTTATTGACCCACTTTCCTATATACGCTGTTTTATTGCTCCACATTCTTATATACCCACTTTCTTATATACCGTGTCTTATTGACCCACTTTCTTATATATGGTGTTGGTCCATTCTTATATTCTTATTACTTTCCTATATACGGTGTTGGTCTTATTGATGTTGTCTTATTGACCTTTTTTCTTATATACGGTGTCTTATTGGTCCACATTCTTATATACCGTGTCTTATTGACCCACTTTCCTATATACGGTGTTGGTCCACATTCTTATATACCGCGTCTTATTTTTTTTTTTTTTGGGAATTACCTACTTTCTTATATACCGGTGTCTTATTGGTCCACATTCTTATATTTATAAATTTCTTATTGACCCACTTTCCTATATACGGTGTTGGTCACATTCTTATATACCGCGTCATTATTTCCTTATATACGGTGTCTTATTGGTCCACATTTTATATTGTCTTATTATTTATTTAAAATATACGGTGTTGGTCACATTCTTATTATATAATAAGAAGTTATTGAGGACTTTCTTATATACACGGTGTCTTATTGGTCCCATTCTTATATACTGTTTCTTATTATATATACAGTGTTGGTCCACATTCTTATATACGTCTTATTTACTTTCTTATATACGGTTCTTATTGGTCCACATTCTTATATACCGTGTCTTATTGACCCACTTTCCTATATACGGTGTTGGTCCACATTCTTATATACCGCGTCTTATTGAACCACTTTCTTATATACGGTGTCTTATTGGTCCACATTCTTATATACCGTTTCTTATTGTGATACTTTCCTATATACGGTGTTGGTCCACATTCTTATATCGTCTTATTGACCCAATTTCTTATATACGGTGTCTTATTATCCTATATTCTTATAAAAAGTTTTTATTGATTTTTCCTATATACGGTGTTGGTCCACATTCTTATATATATACCGTCTTATTGACAATACTTTCTTATATACGGTGTCTTTATTGGTTGGATTTTATATACGTGTCTTATTGACGAATTATTTCCGAGATACGGTGTTGGTCCACATTCTTATATACCGTTTCTTATTGAAATTTCTTTAAAGGTGTCTTTCCCTCTTATTGATATACGGTGTTGGTTTGCATTCTTATATACCGCGTCTTATTGGCCCACTTTCTTATATACGGTGTCTTATTGGTCCACATTCTTATATACCGTTTCTTATTACTTTTTATAAAACGGTGTCTTATTGGTCCACATTCTTATATAGTTTTCTTATTGAATAATATTTCCTATATACGGTGTTGGTCCACATTCTTATATACTGCGTCTTATTGACCCACTTTTCTTATACGGTGTCTTATTGGTTTTTTTAATATATACGGTGTTGGTCCACATTCTTATAAATTGCGTCTTATTGACCCACTTTTTTATACACTTTGGGTCTTATTCATTCTTATATACCGTTTCTTATTACTTTCCATATACGGTGTTGTCCACATTCTTATATACCGCGTCTTAAAACCCACTTTATTATATACGGTGTATTATTGGTCACATTCTTATATACCGTTTTTTATTGACCCACTTTTCCTATATATGGTGTTGGTCCACAATTCTTATATAAACGTCTTATTGACCAACTTTCTTATATAATATGTCTTATTGGTCCACATTCTTATATACCGTTTCTTATTGGACCCATTTTTCCTATATACGGTGTTGGTCCACATTCTCTTATATACCGCGTCTTATTGATACTTTCCTATATTGGTGTTGTCCACATTCTTATATACCGCGTCTTATTGACCCACTTTCTTATATACGGTGTCTTATTGGTCCACATTCTTATATACCGTGTCTTATTGACCCACTTTCCTATATACGGTGTTGGTCCACATTCTTATATACCGCGTCTTATTGACCCACTTTCTTATATACGGTGTCTTATTGGTCCACATTCTTATATACCGTTTCTTATTGACCCACTTTCCTATATACGGTGTTGGTCCACATTCTTATATACCGCGTCTTATTGACCCACTCTCTTATATACGGTGTCTTATTGGTTCACATTCTTATATATAAGGTGATTTATTGGTCTACATATGTATATATAAATATTTATTCACATTCTTATGTACGAGCAATGACGAGCCTCGTCCGTACCAAGATGGGTGACCGCTTGCTCTTAGTTACTGTTATCGTGTATTCGCGGTTGGGGCAATGGATAATGGCTCGGAAGTGTTAATCGGAGAGCCGAGTTTCAATTCCAGTCGGGTTCCTTATATTTACTTACGCGCAAATACCCTTGGGAAATGCATGAATCCAAATCTTCCCACCCCAGCTATGGTTTAATTAGTAAGACTTGTATCACTCAAACCATTATTATCTACCCCAAAATATTCTTACTATTTAAAAATATTTCCTGGCTTTAAATAACCTAAGTTGGTAAATCGTAGAAAAAGAATCAATCCATCAATCAATCAAATACTAATTAGCTATCCAGGCATGTCTTTTAGATTTATTTACATTCTCTGGAATAGAAATGTATAGAAACTACTGTGGCCATAAAGTGAGGGATCATTTTATATGCTGATTATACTATAGAATTGATCCCCCACTTTATATCAACATTATTATCTCCAAAAAAAATCTTACAATCTAAAAATATTTTATGGCTTCAAATAACATACAAAGTGTTGATAAGCCATAAGAAATGAAACAATGAAATACTGATTAGCTACACAGCCATGTCTTTTAGATTTATTTACATTCTCTGGAATATAAATGTAGAGAAACTACCGTGGCCACAAATTGAGGGATCAGTTTATATGCTGATTATACTCTAGAATTGATCCCCCACTTTATATCAACATTATTATCTCCAAAAAAATCTTACAATCTAAAAATATTTTCTGGCTTTAAATAACCTACAAAGGGTTGATAAGCCGTCAGAAATGAATCAATGAAATACTGATTAGCTACACAGCCATGTCTTTTAGATTTATTTACATTCTCTGGAATAGAAATGTATTGAAACTACCGTGGCCAGAAAGTGAGGGTTAAGTTTATATATTAATTGTAATATAGAATTGATCTCCCGCTTTAGATTCACGCTATCATTTCTTGTTTGTTCATCAAATTCTGATAGGTATGAATCAATCTTTTCTCCGCCCTCCTGCTATGGTTAATTAATGAGACTTGTATCAGTAAGTCATTATTATCTTCAAAAAGAAAAAAAAAATTCTTATAATTTAAAAATAATTTCTGGCTTTAAATAAACAGCAAAAGGTTGGTAAACCACAGCAAAAGGTTGGTAAACCACAGCAAAACGAATCAATATATATATGACATATTGCTCCCTATTCCTATGCACGGTGACTTATTGGTCTGCATTAATATCTATGTCGCTGCTGTAGACGGCCGCCATGTTTGACCCGGATTCCATATCGAGGCGATCGCTCTCTTAATTCGGAATCGAATTATTTCACACCTACTTAACTTCACCTCAACAGATTTGGAACATTAATTTCCTTCGACCGTTTTCCCATACATTATTTTCAAGTGCTCCCAGTCCTCTATTCCAAAGGCTTCACTTCAAAGCCCTTGGAATCCTAATCAAATACCGTGAAATGCTGTCATTTCATTTTGGCCCCCTAATTTTACATTTCCAGCTAGTCTTTCGCACTTTTCCCCACCTTTTTTTTTTCTCTACCTCAATTTTCTCTCTAGATATTGACTAAGACCTTAATTGACTCACGGCAGATAACACGTGTTTGTTGAGGGATATATGTCTCTGATTCATATACGCATTCATTCCACGGATTCATTCAAAGGAAATAAAAATAATTTCAGTAAATGAGGCATCCCCATTATTATTATTATTATTATTATTATTATTATTATTTGTGTACGTTATATTTCCTGCTTTGTATCTTGTAGAGCCGGGTCCAAACTATGGTCCTTAGGCCCTATAGGAGAAGTGTCATTTTATTGATAGAGCTTTTCTTCGTATATGGGATGTTCCTAGTAGGGCGATCTTCTGGGAAACTTGTATGTTGATATTACCTGGGACACTGTTAGTAAAATTGTCCATTCCTTTTCTCACGAGGCCCAGAGCTCCGATTACTATTCGTACACTCAGGCTTTAATCACCCCCCATCCTCTCTTTGTTTGTCTGTTTCTTATTCTTTCTTTCTTTCTACCTTCTTTCCTTTGCTTGTTACCTCTTTTTCTTCTTTTCTTTTCTTTCCTTCTTGCTTTGTTTATTTGTTTCTTTCTTTCTTTCTCCCTTCTTTCCTTTGCTTGTTATCTTTTTTCTTTCTTTCTTTCTTTCTTTCTTTCTTTCTTTCTTTCTTTCTTTCTTTCTTTTTTTCTTTTTACTTTTCTTTTTTACTTAGAGAAAAGAACTTGTTTCTTTTTTACTTTTTTTTCTTTTCTTTCTTTTTCTTTCTTTTTTTTTTCTTTTTACTTTTTTCTTTTTTCTTTCTTTCTTTTCTTTTTCTTTCTTTCTTTCTTTTTTCTCTTTTTCTTTCCTTTGCTTGTAAACTCTTTTCTTTCTTTCTTTCTTTCTTTCTTTCTTTCTTTCTTTCTTTTTTTCTTTCTATTCACTGTCTATTTCTTATTCTTTCTTTCTTTCTACCTTCTTTCCTTTGCTTGTTACCTCTTTTTCTTCTTTTCTTTTCTTTCCTTCTTGCTTTGTTCGTTTGTTTGTTTCTTTCTTTCTTTCTTTCTCCCTTCTTTCCTTTGCTTGTTATCTCTTTTTCTTTCTTTCTTTCTTTCTTTCTTTCTTTCTTTCTTTCTTTCTTTCTTTCTTTCCTTTACTTGGAATCTCTTTTCTTTCTTTCTTTCATTCTTTTTTTTTCTTTCTTTCTTTCTAAATTTTTTACCTTCTTTTCTTTGGTTTTGTTATCTCTTTTTTTCTGAATTTCTTTTCTTTCTTTGTCTATTTCTTATTCTTTTTTTTTCTTTCTTTCTTTCTTTTTTTTCTTTTTTTTCTTTCTTTCTTTCTATTCACTGTCTATTTCTTATTCTTCCTTTCTTTCTCCCTTCTTTCCTTTGCTTGTTATCTCTTTTTTTTTTTCTTTATTTCTTTCTTTCTTTCTTTCTTTCTTTCTTTTCTTTAAAAATTCTTTTTTTTCTTTCTTTCTTTCTTTCTTTTTTCAAAATTTTCTTCCTTCTTTTTCTTTCTTTCTTTTTTTCCTTTCTTTCTTTTTTTCTTTCTTTCTTTCTTTCCTTTCTTTCCTTTCTTTTTTTTTTTCTTTCTTTTTTCTTTTTTCTTTTTTTTTCTTTCTTTTTTCTTTCTTTTTTTGCTTGTTACCTCTCTTTTTCTTTCTTTCTTCTTCCTTTCTTTCTCCTGTTTTTCACTTTCCCTTCTTCACTTGTATATTTTCATTTAAATTTTGATCCCCTTATTAAAAAAAAAAAAAAAAAAAAAACGACCATTATCCATTTTGCACTCTCTTAATTAAATTTTATAAAACGTCTCAGTTTATTTCTTGGGACTCTGTCCAAACAATAATCAGTTCTCATTTCCCAGTCACAGGTGTTTAGACTCAAGTCTTAGTGTCAATCATATTACCCTGGGGACATCATTTCAATCTTGTTTTGACCTGCACGTTAAAGATCCGAACACTTCCCAGTGGCACTTCCAAAAAAACAGAAATATTATTTCGTTTCGTATTTTGATCCCCCGATTTTTATCGACATCATTAGCCAGAGCTGCACATATGTTTTATTATTTATTATAAAAAAAAAAATCTAGCAGGGTTACTCGCTTTTGCCTAGACTGGGACAGCTACGTAAATCCTTGCTAGTAACAATAATATTGACCATTTCCTTATAAAGAAACATTTAGAATACATTTGTTAACCAGTTCTCCTCGAGTTACGCATTTCTTCATTGTTTGGCCATAGCGCTGAGATCAAAATGTAGTATCTGTTCTCCTCATCTATAAGGAAAATATTAGCTGCCCCTAGTGCTACTCGGGTTACACTTTTTCTTCAATGCCTGGCCATAGGGCTGACAACAAAGTGACTATCTGTTCTCTTTATCTAATAGTACCTGTCCACTAATGAGAAAACATTGGCATTCATTGACCGAGCAGCCAGTGCTATTCGATTTACGCTTTTCTTCATTCTTGGCTATAGGGCTGAGATCAAATTGTAGTATCTGTTCTCCTTATCTGCAATGGTAATATTACCCGTTCGCTAATAAGGAAACATTTAGCATTTATTGATTGTGCAGCCAGTGTTACACGAATTACGCTTTTGTTCACTAAGTTTATAAAATTTTCTATGAAAAGATTTTTTCAAGAAAAAAAACAAAAACTTTTTCAACTTCAGTAACTTTTTCCATTATTAATCGACAAGTTTACTGTGTCCAGGGTTTGTGAAAAAAAATTAATGTTTATCCTTGTTTCTTGTTTCAAACAGGGTTGGTTCCTTCTAAAGATTTTTCATTCTTTTTCACTCCCAGTAGCTCCTTGCATCTTAGTGGCATTATCACCTTGCTTGGGGTGGATAGAGTTTAGAAGGTTTATCCCTTGTTTCCTGTTTAGGAACATTTTTTCTGCTTCCTTCTAAAGTCTTTTTTCATTAGTTTTAAATCCCAGTAGCCCCCTGCATCTTATTGGCATTTTATCAACTTGCTTGGGGTGAATAGAGGAGTAGAGGTTTATCCCTTGTTTCCTGTTTAGGATTGGGTTTTTGTTCCTTCTAAAGTCTTTTTTCATTCTCTTTCAGTCCCAGTAATTTTGCATCATCTTAGTGGCATTATCAAAATTGATTGGGGTGAATAGAGGAGTAGAGGTTTATCCCTTGTTTCCTGTTTAGGATTGGGTTTCTGGTTCCTTCTAAAGTCTTTTTTCATTCTCTTTTCTCCCAGTAGTCCCTTGCATCTTAGTAGCATTATCACCTTGCTTGGGTGAATTTTAGAGGTTTATCCCTTGTTTCCTGTTTGGGATTGGGTTTCTGGTTCCTTCTAAAGTCTTTTTCATTCTCTTTCACTTTTAATTAGCCCCTTGCATCTTAGTGACATTATCACCTTGCTTGGGGTGAATAGAGGAGTAGAGGTTTATCCCTTGTTTCCTGTTTAGGATTGGGTTTCTGGTTCCTTCTAAAGTTTTTTTTCATTCTCTTTCATTCCCAGTATCCCCCTTGCATCTTAGTGGCATTATCACCTTGATTGGGGTGAATAGAGGAGTAGAGGTTTATCCCTTGTTTCCTGTTTAGGATTGGGTTTCTGGTTCCTTCTAAAGTCTTTTTTTCATTCTCTTTCACTCCCAGTAGCCCCTTGCATCTTAGTGGCATTATCACCTTGGTTTGGGGTGAATAGAGGAGTAGAGGTTTATCCCTTGTTTCCTGTTTAGGATTGGGTTTCTGGTTCCTTCTAAAGTCTTTTTTCATTCTCTTTCACTCCCAGTAGCAAAATTTGCATCTTAGTGGCATTATCACCTTGCTTGGGGTGAATAGAGGAGTAGAGGTTTATCCTTGTTTCCTGTTTAGGATTGCTTTCTGGTTCCTTCTAAAGTCTTTTTCATTCTACAAACTCCCAGTAGCCCCTTGCATCTTAGTGGCATTATCACCTTGCTTGGGGTGAATAGAGGGTAGAGGTTTATCCCTTGTTTCCTGTTTAGGATTGGGTTTCTGGTTCCTTCTAAAGTCTTTTTCATTTCTTTCCTCCCAGTAGCCCCTTGCATCTTAGTGGCATTATCACCTTTTGGGGTGAATAGAGGAGTAGAGGTTTATCCCTTGTTTCCTGTTTAGGATTGGGTTTCTGGTTCCTTCTAAAGTTTTTTTTCATTCTCTTTCACTCCCAGTAGCCCCTTGCATCTTAGTGGCATTATCACCTTGCTTGGGGTGAATAGAGAGTAGAGGTTTATCCCTTGTTTCCTGTTTAGGATTGGGTTTCTGGTTCCTTCTAAAGTTTTTTCATTCTCTTTCAAGAAAAGTAGCCCCTTGCATCTTAGTGGCATTATCACCTTGCTTGGGGTGAATAGAGGAGTAGAGGTTTATCCCTTGTTTCCTGTTTAGGATTGGGTTTCTGGTTCCTTCTAAAGTCTTTTTCATTCTCTTTCACTACCAGTAGACCCTTGCATCTTAGTGGCATTATCACCTTGCTTGGGGTGAATAGAGGAGTAGAGGTTTATCCTTGTTTCCTGTTTAGGATTGGGTTTCTGGTTCCTTCTAAAGTCTTTTTTCATTCTCTTTCATTCCCAGTAGTCCCTTGCATTTTAGTGGCATTATCACCTTGCTTGGGGTGAATAGAGGAGTAGAGGTTTATCCCTTGTTTCCTGTTTAGGATTGGGTTTCTGGTTCCTTCTAAAGTCTTTTTAATTCTCTTTCACTCCCAGTAGCCCCCTTGCATCTTAGTGGCATTATCACCTTGCTTGGGGTGAATAGAGGAGTAGAGGTTTATCCCTTGTTTCCTGTTTAGGATTGGGTTTCTGGTTCCTTCTAAAGTCTTTTTCATTCTCTTTCACTCCCAGTAGCCCCCTTGCATCTTAGTGGCATTATCACCTTGCTTGGGGTGAATAGAGGAGTAGAGGTTTATCCCTTGTTTCCTGTTTAGGATTGGGTTTCTGGTTCCTTCTAAAGTCTTTTTCATTCTCTTTCATTCCCAGTAGTCCCTTGCATCTTAGTGGCATTATCACCTTGCTTGGGGTGAATAGAGGAGTAGAGGTTTATCCCTTGTTTCCTGTTTAGGATTGGGTTTCTGGTTCCTTCTAAAGTCTTTTTTTCATTCTCTTTCACTCCCAGTTAAACCCTTGCATCTTAGTGGCATTATCACCTTGCTTGGGGTGAATAGCATTTAGAGGTTTATCCTTGTTTCCTGTTTAGGATTGGGTTTCTGGTTCCTTCTAAAGTTCTTTTTTTTTCATTCTCTTTTCCTCCCAGTAGGATTGCATCTTAGTGGCATTATCACCTTGTTTGGAGTGAATGAAAGAGGAGTAGGGTTTATCCCTTGTTTCCTTGTTTAGGATTGGGTTTCTGGTTCCTTTAAGTCTTTTTCATTCTTTTTCACTTCAGTAGACCCTTGATTTTTTTTTCATTTTTTCTTGGGTTGAATAGAGGAAAGTAGAGGTTTATCCCTTGTTTCCTGTTTAGGATTGGGTTTCTGGTTCCTTTAAAGTCTTTTTTCATTTTCAAAATTGCATCTTAGTGGCATTATCACTGATCCATATACGTTTTTGAAATTTTTTTTTAGAAAAAAACACATCCACATCCTTGGAGTATTGGAAAAAGGTGGTAGTTTTAGTTAATCGCACTAACGCCTTTTGGAAAAAGCATTGAATACATATCTTCTGCGTGTACGTTTTTATAAACTCCAAATTGTTTTTGTTTAATCGTAATCACCCCAAGCAAGGCAGTAATGCCACTAAAACGGGTTACATGATTTAGGAACAGACACATTAATGAGCAAAAAGAAAAGAGATTAATCAGGTGAACAGTAGATAGCGATTGCCATTGCATTTAAATATTTGCAGATGAAAATCCGGCTGGAAAGGAAGGAGCCGGAAGGGAGTCCCACAAGCGAGAAATGCGAGAGAAGAAACTGTTAGCATAGAACTTACGGCTACATCGAGCCAGCTCAACTGCAAATTGATGAGATCTCGACGCCAGTCTAGTGCTGAGCTTAAATAAAAAAAAAATCTGTATACTATAGCGAATGGCTCATTCGAACAATTATCATGAAAGTATTTATAGATAAGAAATAAAGAGGCAATGTTATGGCGGTGGGAATGTGACTAGAGCCGAGCGACCAGATCAGGACCAGTAATATTGCAGATTCTTCTTTGGATTTTATCAAGGGGCTCAAGGTAGATAGCAGGGGCTCTGGACCATATGTGGCAGCAATATTCTAATCATGGACGAATGGTAGACTTATAGATATGTAAGATAGATTCTGGAGAGAAAAATTGTCTCGCCCGACATAGTGAATCGACTTTCTTAACAGGTGACCTAGCAATAGATTCAATATAGTCTTTCCAGTTCATATCTGCAGAGAACGTGAACAAATCACCCCTCTCCCCGCCCAAAGCACAGCATTACATTTCTTTCATGAAGCTCAGCTTTTGGAGTCAGTTGTGGAGATTTAACATCTGACTTTATTGCTATATTTATGAGTTATAGTACTCAATGTCCGGGATAGAGTCTATGTAAATATAAAATGAGATGGAACAACTACATTGAATCAATAGCTACATCTACCGCAAGGAAAGTTGGTTCTCTGTGTCGTGCCAGAACGTTTTTCTCGCCTGAGTCCATCCTTCAAATCAGCCATCCGTTCTTGCACGGAATATTGCTGTCATATATGGTCTGGTGCTCCGGCTGTACGTCTCGAGGTCCTTGACAAAATCCAGAGACGAATATACAAGATGATAGGTCCAGATCTGGCATCTAGTCTACAATCGCTATTCCAGAGACGTGCTGTGGCCTCCCTCTGCCTCTTCTACAAATATTTTCA